AATAGATTAAAAGAAAATAATTGCCAATTGAATCTAGTTAAAAATTTTGTTGAAATAAAACCATCTTGTTATGGCTTTACTGGCTAGCATAGAACAGCTCTCCAGTATAGGTAATAACCTTAACCAGTGTGGCAAACCATACTTGGGCGCATATAGAGGAAGCTGAGTGATGTCAGATCTACAACTTAGATAGTTTTAATATATATTTTGCATATGCTTTGATCTAATACAGATACTGGTAAGGCTACCAATAATTTCAAAAAAAAATATTATAGTGAATAGGTTCTTAAAATAGCCTTGTACAATAAAAATAAAATTTATCTATAAGATAATTGCTACTGCTACTATGCACATTTTATTATATTAAAGTTCTCATTAAATGTCTTCCGGACTGTTGCGCCACTGTGGCGCACCAACCTGGTACACATTTTCCGGGTGCGACATTCATATGATTGGTTAATTTTGTAGATCTACCCGTGATTACCCGTGATAATTAACCAATCAAATTACAAAATTTTTAAAGACATTTATCGGTTTAATATTATTAAAAAACGAAAAAAAACTTCATATAAAAGAGTTAACAAACTAATAAATACATGCAAAAGAATTTATTACAACTATTTAGAGAATAGATAGGTACGCGTAAAGTTGGATAAATGCGATATTTATTACTAATAAACCCGAGCTCATTAAAGAATCTACAAGATTTTTAAGGAAAGTCCCAACATAACCACTAATCGATGGCGCAGACAGGATATAATCGCAAAAAAATTTAAGTTCGTTTATTTTAGGGTTAGGGCAAGGTTTAGAGGTATTATATATGAAAAATTTAGCAAGGAATTTTTTTTTGCTAGAACATCGAAAGTGATCTCATAAGCGAGTTTTCGAGAAACAAACGATTTTTTTCAAAATAAACGTTTGAACTTTTTTTTCTGATCGTGTTACGATACACAAAATTGTGATTTATTATTGGCTGATTATGTCGGAAGATCATGTGTCTGCGCTCTCGATTAGTGGTTATGCTGGGACTTTTGATATATAAGCCAACACTTTAATTTACGGTTGACAAACCCAAGAATCAACCAAACTTAAAGTTAAACTCGGCTCTTTTGCTACGAAAGAGCTTGTACCTGTTCAAATTAAACAGTTGCAATAAATGTTTATTTAAATCTACATGGTAAAGTAGTCTTAGATGAAAATATTTCCAGTTACCTTCACTTTACGGTATAATTTCTCAAGGTCCAATAAACGGTCATATATTTTTTCTTCTAAGTAAAGTTAGTGAGGAGGCAGATTCTTTTAGATTCTTTTGTATAGTGAATATTAACGCTCGTTAAAACTAAGAATGATTTTTACGGCGATTTTTTATTAGTGAAACGTCATGTTCTTAAAAAGCACTCTAAAGTGTATAAATAAGTTACCCGAGTAATTGATTTACATCAGCCAATCAGACGAAAGCTCTCCCATGAAATACTGAGGAAGATTTTGCAGATCATGATGTCACGGGAAAGCACGATTATAAGAGAATTTTACAGATTCCGAATAAATACAAACGTTGCCGATTGAAAACCTGGTTGATAGACAATCTAAAATCTCTGAAATTTCCCGCCATTATTTTCACGAAAATCACGCCAAAACCAGATTTCTGATTTCGTAGGTATATGGAAATCGTTGCTCATACCTTTCTTTTTAGCAATTGATAGTGATAGGCCAATGAGTCTTAATATAGCCTTAAATATTAACTTTACTATAAAATATACAGCAATATATACCGTTTTTTATATAAACTGCATTTCTGTCTTTAATAGCAACAGTGTCTAACAACCGTGAATTCAAGATCTTACCGTATTTGTCATTATAGAAATGACTTACGTATAGCATAGCCTTTTTCGATTTTTGCCGAGTTTTTACTTTCTCCGGGTTTATTTCCGATTTTAGATTTCGTCTTTTGTCAAGAGGATTCGAGGTTTCATCTTTAGCCGGGTTTTGGTTTCGTTTTTCATCACTATGCAAGAAAGTATTCGCTTAATAACCATAATTCGGATCACTACCTTAGAACCTGGTCTTAAACCTAGTTTATAAAGGCCAAGTCCTAATTTTAAGATCGAGGCTATATTTAAATAAGACTTGGATGCACAACTATATGTATTGATTTACTACTTTTAATATGACACATATAGTACAGTATTTAGTAAAAATACTAAATTGGCTTGGTGAACACATTCGTTTATCGGGCAAACTCATATGATTATGAATTTTTTCGTCTTGTTATTTTTTTCATGTGTTATTATGCAATCATGTTTATTCAAATTAAAGCTCGGCCTGCCAATCATGATTAAAAATTGCTGGATAACAGCAAATTGTCAAATACGATAATTTGGCTGACACGTTCCACTTCGCGACACGTGTTCGTTCGCCCAGTTGAGCCAAATTATCGTTATCCGACATTTATGTGAATTTTTTTGCCAAGACAATTTTTGCACGAAATTACGTAATCATTTGTGCAAGATAACACGGAAAAAAACTTACGTAAATAACGGACAATTGTTTTCATCGGAATTAATTTCATTCATGTGCTACTACGCAGCACACGGAGTGACATTAACTTCGACTAAAAAATCACCCGTCTATTACCCACAGGGCACGGAAATTATGCAAATTGTTTTAGTACGATCCTTGACAGACTGCATCAAATCGCATAATCACTAATTATTTTATATTAATTTTTGTGTAACTGATAGCTCTCAACGGACTTAAATACAGAGTTAAATCACATCAAATCACATTAAATCACAAATTCCATGCCCCTACTGCCCAATAGTGTATACTTATTCTACGTTTTTGCCCAGTATTGTATACAAAACTAGTCAATTAGATCACGCGTTTGTGGCGGCATTCGCAATTTTTTTTTTTAGCTTTAAATAATAACATCTCATAATATACTGTATTAAATTTGATGAATTTATTTTTTTTATAACTAGAAAATCTGTCTTTATAACCATTCTTAGCAATAAAAGTAAATTTTATTTATTTAAAATCTGTATTATAATGAAAAATACAAAATTAAATAGGGATTCGCCACCAATTTTATATATTAACGTTAATCATGGTTACACGCTCATAGAAAAACTTCCAAATGATTGGCTGTTTAATTTTACATGATTATATAGTTTAAAGTACTTTTTTTTTAAAAAAAAAAATTATATAGAAAGTTTTATTAGGGTTGTATGACTCTACAATTGAAAATATCCCTTTTATTTAAGAGAAGCTATAATCTGAAGTCGTTATTATGCTAACTTCTCTAACAACATGAAGTGATTTTGATTATTTTTAATAGTAAAGTCCTACGACTAATAAAACTTTCGATATACTTTTTTTCTTATTTATTCTTTGTAGTTTGATTTTTTTTTTAAAAAAATACTTTAAACTGATTTTACCTCAGAATCCCGACATATAAAAATCCAGATATACAAAATCCCGAAATCAAAATGCCGACACTATCAAAATATCGACATCTATAAATCCGAAAATACCAAAACTAAAACCATAACAGTACTAAATCTTGGAATTTTGGTAGTAGCGGGATTTTGTTGTCGGGTTTATGCGTCGGGATTCTGAGGTAAAACCCTTTAAATTGCATAAATAATATCAAATTAAATAGATTTAAACAGCCAACCATATAAAAGTCTTTCTATGAGTCATTATTATATTATCCAGTCAATCAAAATCACGAAAAAAATTAATCGTGTTATAAGTTACCCGGGTCATATTCAAAGATTCCATCATTAAAGGTACTGTGCGTATGATCACTGGAAACATTACAACAAACCGAGATTTTAACGTTAGCATTAGATCATTTTAGGTCCTAGACAGGAGTACCGAAAAATTATTTGCAATTAAATTATTATGCAATTACAATCAACTAAAATTGTTAAAAAAAAAAAAAACACGAATAATTGCAATTAATTGCTTTTACCGTAAAGTTTGTTATAATTAGTGTTGAGAATTAAGATTGGTTCAAATTACGAGTTATTTATTAATAATAAAGTTATTAATTTTTACAGAGTTGGTAATCAATACTGAGATTAACAATATATAAATTGATATTATCGATAAATCTATCAACAAAACATATTTATTAAAAAATTTCGTGCATAACAATACGTATAATTTTAATTAATAATAGTTAAGAATTATTATTACTCTACCTATAATATAAAGTTTTCGACTTTAAAATACTCTATTTTAAAACAGAAAAAAATTAATCGTACCCATCTGCAGCAGAGTCGGCTAGGGCGGCCCCAAAATGCCAGTCACAAGCCGCAGCCACGGCATAGAATATAAAATTACAATCAACAAGTTATTGATATCAATATCGTTAACTTATCGATTGTCATTTTATATTATATGTTTCTGCTGCGGTTTGTGTAACTGGCACTTTGGGGCCGCCCTCACCGTCTACTAAGACTACAATTTCTGACGACAAAGATCAACAAATATACTTTTATATACGTACAGTACGTACGTCTATCGTCACTGAATCAAAAAAATTTCAATTAATTGGATAATTGTTGTTGTGCCACTGATTAATTAATTGAGGTCAAATAATTGCAATTAACTGCCTTCACAATCAATTCTTCGGTACACTTGGTTCTAGGATTTGTATAGGACCTTACCTGAAAATTTGCACGACGGAATCTAAAAGTCTTAGAACCAAGATTGACTTTACCAATCATACATTTTGTAAAACATTTAAAACAAATAATTTTTTGAGGGAATTTATTACATAAATACAATATATTTGTACAGGAAAAATAATATAATAACAAAACTTTTATACAAGCATAATAAATAATAACTAATCAAAAATTTTAAATAATAATGTTCATTACGAAAAGATCCGTAGAATCTTTGATCAAAGCTTTATCTAATTACATTTATCTTTATAACCATTTATAATGTGATCTTTTATTCCTTTTCTTTATTTCCCTCGGTTCCTTTTAATGTCCGTGTTTATATCCATGATCCCAATCATCATGTCCTTTGTGTTCCCAACTACCATGTCCTTTTTCATGATGATCATGTCCTTTGTGTTCCCAATCACCATGTCCTTTGTGATGTCCCCAATCTCCGTGCTCTTTGTCATGGTCTCCTCTTTTATGCCCGTGTTTATATCCGTTGTGATCATGTCCTTTATGATCCCAATGTTCATGTTCTTTGTGATGTCCCCAGTCTCCGTGTTCTTTGTCATGGTCTCCTCTTTTATGCCCGTGTTTATATCCATGATTATATCCATGATCCACATCACCATGTCCGTTGTGATCATGTCCTTTATGATCCCAATGTTCATGTTCTTTGTGGTGTCCCCAGTCTCCGTGTTCTTTATCATGGTCTCCTCTTTTATGTCCGTGTTTATATCCATGATTATATCCATGATGATTATATCCATGATTATATCCATGATCCCAATCATGTCCTTTGTTGTATCCCCAATGATCACCAGGAGTACGCTTGTCTTCATGTACTGAATGTATTGAATAAAGAATAAATCGCATATTAATAAATATATCATTTAGCATAAAGTATAAGTCATTAAAAATTTAATCATATATATTACCTAAGTCTTTGACATCTTCTAAAATGTAGTAATAAAATGATAAGTGAGTTTATTAAATGCAGATACGATGAGATAATGAATATAATCAAATATTATTATAAAAAATTAATACCTTGTGGGGTTGGAATTGCCATTGTGTTGGCAGTGAGAAGAATCAAATATAAGGTAGCAAATTTG